TATCTGTCCCCATATATCCATCCTTTCTGGCTCTTAAGGTCCTCACAAAACCTGTTTTTGACACACCAAGAACACTGAAGCTATTTTACATGATCTCCCATACTCAGTGGGAATTTACAAATTCAGACATAATCACACAGGAATTGTCTGGAGGAAAGAAGTAATGTGGCTTTTCCTTCTCGAACCTGCTGTCTATCTTTTGACATTTTATTACTTTATTTTAGCATTCTTCCTAAGTTGGGAAAGGGCAAGGAGTTGAAAACCATGGCATTCCTCCTTAGCAGCTCTGTTGATTAGCTGGGTGGAAGATGTCCAAACAAGTGGATAAACTCAATGTAAAGAGACCCTGGAGACTCTGTGAAACCCACAACTACAGATAACAAATCCCAGATGATGGCATGATGTGCTTATGAATAGTGTATGTAGGGAAACAACCCTACTTTCACAACTGATAGATGATTATTATATATACAGCTGTGGTCAAAATTTTTTCTGAGCTGGGCTTGGTGGCTCACACCTGTAATCCCAGTACTTTGGGAGACCAAGGCAGGCGGATCGCTTGAGCTCATGAGTTCAGAACCAGCTTGGGTAACATGGCGAAACCTCATCTCTACAAAAACTACAAAAATTAGCCTGGTGTGGTAGTATGCACCTGCAGCTCCAGGTACTTGGTCGGGGGGCTGAGGTGGTAGAATCACTTGAGCCCAGGAGGTTGAAGCTGCAGTGAGCCGTGATCATGCTACTGCACTCCAGTCTGGCCGACAGAGTGAGACCCTCTCACAAAAAAGGAAAAGAGAAAAAAAATTGTTTTCTATTCTAACACTGTGGTGATGGGTAGGGAGAATGGAGGAAAGGGGCTGGGAAAAGGGCAGCCAGAAAGAACATGCTTCCTGGGGTTCAGGGCACTGGTTCTCTCCTCTGTGCCAGTAAGCTTAGAACAAGATACATCCCTCACACTGAAAACCAGAAGTTAAGAAAACGTGCAGCTGCCTACTATAGAAAAATGTCGACTGCTGATGTCGGGGAGAGAATCACAAGACCCTCAGTCTGACTATGCTACTATTAGGCCTGAGAAAAGTAACTATGCCCATATTTTAATTTATAATGATAGGTAAAACAGCCAAGTTCTACCTAAGGGTCAAACAATCTTACTATCTATCTATCGCTGATCACCCTTTTGACACCTGAATTTTAAAAAATAAATTTACTGGAGAAAAGGGGAAGGGATTCCTGTCTCCCGACTCTGGACAGAAATCTCTCTAAAAGAAGATCACTACTAGGGAGGGAGAACACTTGGGGCCTGCAAGAGAAGTGAGTCTCTGCTTATAAAGGGCCTTAGTAAAAAGATGCGCTAGCAGAAGAACAAACAAACAAGATGCCCAAAACAAAGAACAGGACATTAATAAAGAAACAGAATTTCTGGAGCTGGCACCAAGAACGGCAGAAGGGATAAAAGGGAAGCCAAGTTAGAACCACGAGGAGAACTAGTTGCTAAGAAGTAGTCCCATGTTCCAACAGCTCTGTGGAGAGTCTGGTTTTGTGACATCACTAGAGGGCTCTGATTTACCATGTCTTAGACGGAGGTCAGAGGGACATCTTTGTTGAAATACTAGCAACATGCTGGGTCTCAAAGTCACATTCAATATAAAAGGACAGTCTATTCATCAAAAGTACTATCAGTAGGCACAAGGTTTCAGATACATGACCTTAAAATGTTGTTTAAAAAGCGTAGGAAAGGAAGGCATTAGGAATCAAAATAAACAGTATGGCTAAGTAAAAAATCCAGTATTTGAAAGAGACATGTGTTTGAATTCCTGTGATCTTTGGGGAAAATGCATCTTCTCCAGTTTTACAGTTTATCCATCAGTAAAATGGAGATAATTGATACTGTTACTAATTGTAACTTACATGCTATCCAGGGCCCACTTGCCCTTGCTATTTTCACGAGACTGCTGTGAATCCCCAATCCCGTGGCCAGGGGTAAGACATATTTTCCTAAGATGTGAGTAGATTCTCAGGAACTGACTCTCTCCTGGTCTTTTCAGACTCTGGCCTCGTGTGTGCTCAAGTGCTTTCTCTGCTCTGCATGAAACAATGCAAACTGCCAGTTTCCCCAAATACAGCACTTAAACCTGGCATTTCCAGAGTTTTATTGACACTGAGTAATTTGTGGTCGTGAGTTTGAAACGTATCGTAGAAGGCCGTGACTGTGCGTAAATTCACCCACTTTGTCTCCCTGCCTCTTTCTCTTCTTCTAAGTCCCTCCTCTCCTAAACTAGCTCCAGTTACTTATATGATGCTGAGGAGCTTCCCTTTCCTCTGAAGCCTACGGACTGGCCAACCAAGTTTGAGGATGGGGACTCATTCTCTACCCTAAGCACTTATCAAAGTTATTTTCCCAAGTAAAGCAATCCTCTCAAAAATTCTGGCAAAAGCTGTTAAAGCTCTAACATTTTCTTCATTTCTTCACAAGATTTTGCAGAACTGCTAACGCAGGGTAATTAAAATGACATAATAAAGTGCTAGCACAATGCCTTTAACATAGTAAATATGAAACCGCTAGTGGCTGCCATATAATGGTGATGACAGCTAGATTCAGTCCCTGAAAAGACCATACCTACACCAACCAGAGTCTAATCACTTCCAAACGGGGGACCTTGGACTTTGGCTGAGGTAATTGACGACATACAACTGAAAGACAGGAAAGTCTCAATTTTCCTTCAAAAACACAATAGTCTTGATAAACAAGAGTTCATTGACTTGTCACAGTAGCATCTCTGGCCCTTTCCAAACACCCTGTAACAATATACAGCTGAACAGACAACAGGTATAATACGTGAAAGTCTCTTGAGCACTTCAATACATTAAAGAGAGAAATTCTGAAGTACTGTTTTCACCAGTACAAGAAAACTGTCACTTAGAACTTTAGATCTCCTTCTGTTTACATGAGATTTTGTTTTGTGCTAAAACTCAAAGTTTTTCTCCTATATGGCAACTTTTAGCAGGACAAAAAGCTCTTCTTCCATCTCAAAACCGAAAACATATACACCCCACTTAAGAGACTGCAGATTACTATGATAACGAAGCTGTTCTTCCTCTGGAGATTCTCATGGGTTTGGCCTTTGGCATTCCTGCTGACAGGATTTAGCCTGGTAGACTGTAAGCTCTCTCTGAGGTTCAGCTGCTCATGCTTGCCTCTGGGCAACAGCACAGTAGATCTGGGGATCTTGCCAGGATTCCTAGACTCTAAGTAGTAAGGTACATTAGACCTACTAGAGGCAGTAGTGCTTCTAGGCATTTAACTCTCATTTTTGGGCCAGGCACAGTGGCTCATGCCTGTGATCCCACCACTTTGGGAGGCCAAGGTGGGCAGATCAGTTGAGGTCAAGAGTCTGAGACCAGCCTGGCCAACATAACGAAACCCCATCTCTGCTAAAAATACAAAAATTAGCCAGGCATGGTGGTATGTACCTGTAGTTCCAGCTACTCGGGAGGCTGAGGCATGAGAATTGCTTGAACCCAGGGTGAAGGTTGCAGTGAGCTGAGATCTCACCACTACACTCCAGTCTGGGCAACAGAGCAAGACTCTGTCTCCCCAAAAAAAAGAAAAAGAAAAAGAAGTAATTTTTGGCCAGGCATGGTGACTTACACATGTAATCTCAGAGCTTTGGGAGGCTTAAGTGGGAAGATCACTTGAGGCTAGGAGTTCTAAACCAGACTGAGCAACATAGTGAGACCCCATCTCTACAAAAAATTTAAAAATTAGCCAGGCATAGTGATACACGCCTTTAGTCCTGGCTACTCAGGAGGTGAGGAGGAAGGATCACTTGAGCCCAGAGGTCCAACATTACAGTGTATGATCCTGCCACTGCACTCCAGCCTGGGTGACAGAGCGAGAACCTGTCACTAAAAAAAAAAGTAATTCCCCTGCCTCTGGCAGGATGTTGGAAGAGAAAGTTCTATACACACATGAACAAATATGAACACTCACATACATAGAAGTCAGCTCGCAGACAGGCCAGATTTGGACCAGCAATAATGAATATAATAGTTTATACATAAAGCTGCAGGATTAACTGCCAGCTGCCATCATTTAAAGGGTAAATGAACAGAAACCTGAATGCAATCAAGTGAATGAATGTTAGTCCCAGGCCCTCTGTGCATCCCTGAAAGCTATTTTTATGTTAGCCACAGCCTAAATGAGATTCTAGGTACTATCTGATAAGGAAAAGTGACCATGTAGTCATTTTGAGAAGGATTAAACTTAGGGTAGCATCAAGGTCTTTCTGGGTCTACTATAAAAGGGCCACAAACTCCTAGGACTGGAACAAGAATTACGTGTCTCCAAAAATAGGAAGATGTGGCCGGGCATGTTGGTTCACGCCTGTTATCCCAGCACTTTGGGAGGATGAGGCAGACAGATCACCTGAGGTTGGGAGTTCAAGACCAGCCTGACCAACATGAAGAAACCCCGTCTAAACAAAATTAGCCGGGCATGGTGGCACACGCCTGTAATCCCAGCTACTCGGGAGGCTGAGGTAGGAGAATTGCTTGAACCTGGGAGGTGGAGGTTGCGGTATGCCGAGATCGCGCCATCGCACTCCAGCCTGGGCAACAAGAGAGAAACTCCGTCTCAAAAAAAAAAAAAAAGAAAGAAAATAAAATAGGAAGATGTGAGATAAAAGTGTTTTATTTATAGCTCACCACAAAATCCTAAAAAACTTCAATGACGTGGAGCTATAAGCGCCAAGGTGTTGGCCCAAAGTTTTTTAGTACAGAGACCTACAAGTTAGTTCCTTTTTGGGAAAATCTGTGCTGAGTTCACTTTCATGTGCTCATAATGTTGCCTCAGTGAGCTCCCTAACAAGGGAAACCACAAAGATCCGCCAGTAAAGAAAAATGCTAAAGTGTTACAACAAAAGGCTACAGTTCTTAATCTAGACTTTAAATCAGTTAGCTTAACTAAACAGCTTCTCCTAAATGCAAAGCCAACCACTCACCTTCCTCAAAGCTGGCCTTCTTCTGTTTCACTAGAACACGGAAGTTTTCAGCAGGATTCACACTTCCAACCTAGAATATACCAACAGATGATAAACCTACAGGTTATTTATTTTTAGCAGTACCCCAGGCAATACAGGATGGCTTAACGTAGTAAGTGTGTTCTTATAAAATAAAACCAAAGACAAACAGAAGGCCTTTTCTATTCATATTCATTTCTAGGGCCGGCAGATTTCAGTGGTCCAACAGCTGCCCTCGGTGCTTTCACTCACCTTGCTTTATGCAAGCTGATTTCTTTCCAGAGGGGTCGGAAAAGTATTACAGCTCAAGCCACCAGCCAGCCCAGCTGGAAGGCTTTGTGTAGCACAGACTACCTGTATATCCTGTCACCCAACCAATTAGAAAGTGGAGGATTCTGCAGTGTGGGGTCGGTTTCGAATATACTTGCCCCACTAAGATAACATGAGAAATACAGCTTAATGCCTGATTCACCGAAGTGCCCATTAGTAGGACTGCTGCTGACCCTTTGGCACTGAAGTTTTGGTAGAATATACAAGCATATCCAGGTTGAACCCGTCCTCAGAAAGTAAAAGCAGATTATGTACAAAGATGTACTGCAGTGCTGGGTGAGGAAGTTTGAAAGACGAAACCCTGCCATATTATATGGAACTTTCTGATTATACCTCTGTTTTTCATCTGCTGGCCCCAACCCCTCACAGGGCCGAAGAACCACTCAGCTCATAAGAAAGAAAACGATGGGGTTCCAAAATATACTAAAGCTTCCAGTTTGCTAGGGTATTGGAAGCAGAAAAGCTCTCAGAACAAGATCATGACTTTTTCCTTTACTATTATATATAAAATATCTAAATGAAATCTAAAGAAAATTTAAAAAAATTTTTTTCACACATTCAATTTTTCTTAGTTTCTGTTTGAGGTGAGAATAAAGGCATGCCCTTTATTCCCTGACTATCCTTCCTAGTATATTTTGTTAAAAAGTTATTGGCCAATTTTTAAGTTCTGTTGATTCACACTAATACTGCTTAAAAGAAGGCACTATTTGGCCGGGTGCAGTGACTCATGCCTATAATCCCAGTGCTTCGGAAGGCTGAAGTGGGTGGATTGCTTGAGCCCAAGAGTAACATACTGAGACCCACCTCTATGAAAAATAGCTGGGTGTGGTGGCATGTGCCCTTAGTCCTAGCTACACAAGAGGCTAAGGCAGGAGGATCACTTGAGCCCAGGAGTTCAAGGCAGCAGTGAGCTAAAATCACACTACTGTACTCCAGCTTGGGTGACAGTGACAATCTATTTCTAAAATTAAAATATTCTTCCTCCTGGCTGAGCAAGATATAAAAATAAATAAGTAAATAAAATAAGGTAGTATTTTCAAGTTCCAAAAAATTTCTCATTAAATAAAAATCTCATGTATCAAAGGATACTTTCTTGGGGAAATCCTAAACTTGTGAATCCTATTCTAAAGTTGTATGTTAGAAAATAGGAAAGTTACACTAACTTAAATTGTATGTACTTGAAGATTAAGGCTCATACCACTAACCCCCACTTATCCTATTATTTTGACTAGCTGAAAAGCTGCAAAATAATGCCAACAGCAAAATCTCAACACTGAGATGTTCCATGTTCTATAGATTATAAAGAGCTCTATAAACCTTATGTCATATAGATAATTCTATAGGCAATTCATGATAATAATTACTTAAAGAAGTATGAAATGGGTCTTTATGGCTTCTATAGAGCAAGGACCAGAGAAAGTGATCATGATCTTATTTGAAAGTGATAAGAACAGACTAACAAAAATTGATGCACTCTTCCTCAAGCCCCAACCTTCCTGCAAAGGGGGAAGCACACTTGAAAAGCTTTGCTTACAGAAGTGACACTGCCTTCAGCCAGACTGGAGACGCTGAAGTGGGCACCCCCTTGCTCAGTCTTTAATTTTTTAGCGGTAGGTCCATCTTCATGGCTAGAAAAGAAAAAAAAAAAAAATTCTCTTAAAACAGAACAAACAATACAAAACCAGATTGCTATTGTGAAACTTACTTTCCAAGCACCAAATAAATAAATAAATAAATAAATTAAATTAAATAAAGGAAAAAAAAAAGAGGAAAAGAAAAACAATAGCTACATGTAGTCCTCTTACAAACGAAAGCTGCCTCCCTTTCCCAGTCACCGGGCTCCTAAGGGCCTAACTTGAGGCAGCCCTGGCTTTGTTTCACAGCAGTATGAGAATCAGAATTAAGCAATGACATCAGAAGGTCCTTGCAAAAGATGAAACTGCAAGCACAGATAACGGAAATTTAACATTTAAGTAAGAAATCCATTTACTCAGGCCGGGCGCGGTGGCTCAAGCCTGTAATCCCAGCACTTTGGGAGGCCGAGACGGGCGGATCACGAGGTCAGGAGATCAAGACCATCCTGGCTAACACGGTGAAACCCTGTCTCTACTAAAAATACAAAAAATGAGCCAGGCGAGGTGGTGGGCGCCTGTAGTCCCAGCTACTCCGGAGGCTGAGGCAGGAGAATGGCATGAACCCGGGAAGGCGGAGCTTGCAGTGAGCTGAGATCCGGCCAGGGCACTCCAGCCTGGGCAACAGAGTGAGACTCCGTCTCAAAAAAAAGAAAAAAAAAAAAGAAAAAGAAATCCATCTACTCTTCAGATATTATTTTCTAGTTCCTGTCTCAGAATTGACAGCTATTAGCTTTCCATGTACACAGAAGACCTTTGTGTCTAACAACCCATGTTCTCCATCATGTATGTTAGAGCTTTATAAGCTTGTTTACAATTGTCAAAACTTACTAGACAATCCTTAATTAACTATGCAAGAGCTTTCCCTCTTAAAGAAGTCATAAACTATAAAAAAACACTTCCCCAAAAACTTTCAATTTTTTCTTTTATAAACCTGTGTTTTGTGCAATATGCTAACAGTCCAATAGCATCTGTATGCTAAGGAAAAGTGTATCAAACATCTTGCCTCAAGTAACATACTGGCTTCAACAGCCTGTCTTAAAAGTCAAGAGGAGGTCAAGTTAATTGCAAAAGAGAAGAAAATCAAATCCAAAGACTGCCTGTAATCTGCCTTAAGCTGCTGAACATAAAGAAATGAAGATGCAATATGGGACAAAAGCAGCCATCAGAAATGGCTAAATGATAAGAGAAATTAGTAACCAAGATCTAGAAATTTTAAAAATTCATTTATTTTAACAAATAAAAACTGCATATATTTATCACGTACAAAATGTTTTAAAATAAGCATTTGTGAAATAGCTAAATTAAGCTAATTATTGTATGCAATATTTCATTTACTTATCATTTTATTATGAGAACAGTTAAAATTTCTCAGCAATTTTCAAGACTAGTATTCTAAATGTGTTTTTTTGCTCAAAGCCCCAACCTTCAGACAATGAGGCTTGAAAATGAAGTCATTTTAAAAATGAAGCAAAAATAAATTTTAAACATAAAATGAAGCAAAGAATAAATAAAACATACATGGGCTTCCTCAATTTCAATAATGAATTTCCTCTTAGAGGTAGGTAAAACAACTAAAGTAATCATCACAGCCATACATCCATGAATTAAAACTTTCACTATCTGGCATCTTTCCCATTCACCACTAAACGTTTTCCCTTTGAGAAGTAGACAAGAGCTAAGTAGAAGACAGAAGGGTGGGAACCAGGAAACATTACAAGGCATAAGTCACCCAGAACTCTTTTCTTGCAAATAGAATAAAAAATAAACAAAGCCTTCATGGAAAAAATGAAAGAAAAAAAGCAGAAATCCAAGGTAGGATGAAATTCTATTAGAAGTTGAGTATATTTAAAAAAAAAAAGGTCAGAGCCAGTCATTTCAATTAACCTTTGCCAGTTCTTCCCAAGAGACAAGTCAACAACATTAAACTACTGAAGAGTTGGAGTCAAAAGACCTGGATTCTAGTCTCAATTTTGCCACTGACTAGCACTAGAATCTTACACCTTCTTGATGGCGTTCACTGTGTACTAATTTTTATCTGTCTAGACTTTAGAGTCCAGTAAGCTACAAACCTCTCCGAGCTTCAGTCTGTTCCTTAGGAAAGCACTATAATGAAAAGTACCATCAGTATATCGACTACTCTGTTCCAAAAATACAGATTAGCTTACATAGTAGTATTAAGAAGGATTACACATAAAAAGCTAAGTTATGTGGGTATATGAAGTTGAATCACATGAATAATTTCTTCAACCCACCCAAAATGAGGTTCTAGGGAAGGAAGGGTAAACAGACATACAATTTTCCCGTACCAGGCAAGTAAAAGTAGCCCATCATATGTAGAACATAGTAAAATTTAGTATGGGTTAATATTCTCCAGGCCAAATCATTTAATAGCATTATTAGGAATTTTGCATATACTAAATTAATAATGTCTGTGTGAAGTGGGAAAAGGTAATGACTCTCTTCCCTAAATTATCTATGAAGGAACTAAGCTCTAAAAAGTAGAAATTTATACACACAAGATCACAGTAGACATATAAATGTCGCAGTTGGCGCATTTGGATGATGAGACCATGGGTAATTTGTTCTTTTTCCTTTCTTATTTTCTTTCACAAACATGTATAAATTTTGCAACTCACTTATTTAGGCTAATATTTACTGAATATGTACTATGTATCAGTCACTAAGCTAGACTTTAAACTCTCAATATACAAAAATTAATATACTATCAACACCTTCAGCCAAATAAAAATTTAAGTATACATACAGACAATTAACAAAATACTGTGATAGGCAGCCTATCTCTTTCAGAGGATAGAAAACAGTTGTATTGGGCTAAAGCATAAGGTGCAAGCTGGGAAGTAGCGAGAGATGGAGCTAGAAAATACATTAATTAGGAGCATTAAAAAACGTGAGGAAAGAAAATGGTTTTCTCTACATAGCATGTGTGCTGTCTGTCCTCAGTCTGGTGGCTTTGTTGCTGGGCAGCTCTCAGCTGATCCCTGCTGAACTGTGGGGGACGGTCGCCTGGACAGGATCCTTCATGACCCCTTTTCTGTTCCTCCATCATCACGGGGAATAAATCTGTCTCGAAACTCTCTGGCCCGCTCCCAGAAAGGCAAAAAGATATTCAAAAGCCCTTCTTCCATCTTCCTTCCAGTGGGCACCGAGCCCAGCATTTGCAGCACCCACTGCTGGCAGTCTGGCCAGGTGTCTTGTTACCTTGAAAAATGGCTACTGGACATGATTGTGTGGTTGCTCTCATGGACATGGACTGTTTTTTTGTTCCAATGGAGCAGCGGCAAAATCTTCATCTGAGGAATAAACTTTGTGCAGTTGTACAGTACAAATTATGGAGGGCTGGTAGAATAATTGCAGTGAGTTATGAAGCTCGTGCATTTGGGGTCACTATACGTAGGCAGATGATGCAAAGAAGTTACGTCCAGGCCTTCTACTGGCACAAGTTCGTGAGTACCATGGGAAAGCTAACCTCACCAAGTACCGGGAAGCCAGTGTTGAAGTGACGGAAGAAGTCTCGTTTTGCTGTGATTGAATGCACTAGCATTGATGACGCTTACGTAGATCTGACCAGTGCTGTACGAGAGACTACAAAAGCTACAAGGTCAGCCTATCTCGGCAGCCTTGTTATCAAGCACTTAAATTGAAGGGTTGCCGGAAGACCCCACAACAGTGGAAGAGACTGTTTCAGAAAGGTACCTCCATAGCATATTGCTTCTGCTTCCTGCCTTTGCAACCTGCTTTGCTTGGTCATGCTGATTCTCCTTGGAATAACTAAAAGGAACTTAACCTACGGCCTGAATGAATCACAAGGACTCACATGGAAGGATATACAAATGTTCTTATCTTCCCAGGTATACGGATGTTGAGAAGCTGTGAAATCTGTATGAAAGTAAATTTTTCTTTAGATATAACTAGGGCAGGTTAGTGTTATAAACAGAAGGCAGAAGGTTGACTGCGCACTTTGTCATTGGTAGTTTACATCATTGTAACTTAGAGTCTTGGCTTCTTCATCTATAAGGGTGAGCTTTTTAAAGAGGGACCTCAGGTATAGGGAATTCAGTCACTCAAAATTTCTAATCACTTCTTAGCCCATTATCAAATACGGGCTGTGCAAGGCCCTTCTCATTGTATTTTACTATCTTTCCCCTTCATAGTGATTTTCCCACTCCCTCTGCACCCCACTTACCCTCTTGTACCCACAGATATATCAGACGTATCTTAGATATGTACATATCATTATAAGTTACACAGTACTGCTTTGTGTATGTGCCTTCTAATTACAAGATGATTTTGTGCTATTATAGATCTCATTCTTTTTCTTAATTTTCCTTCAATGGTGACCTCAGAGATCTGTCGATGTGGTTGTTACTTGCAGCATAATCCATGATATGGATCCACCATGTTTACAGACCATTTTCCCTAGTGACAAGTTCACTGGTAGCTTCTAATGTCCTACTCAGTTTACATTCCCCCTTGGCAGTACACAGAAGTTCCTGTTTCTCCCATATTCTCACCAACAACTGGTCTCATCTAATGTTTAAAAATATTTGCCAATGTTTGTTTGTTTTGCTTTGATTTACAGTTCTCTGATTACTAATTGAGACTGAAGATCTCTTCATACACTTGTAAGCCAGCTGAGTTTCTGCTCCTGTGATTTGCTTATTTATAATCTTTGCCTGTTTTTCCATGGAAAAATTTTTTGATTTTCCAAGAGGTCCTTGTATAGGTCCTTGTATATCCTAATTATTAGTTCCTTGTCTTTTTTTTTTTTTTGAGATGGGAGTCTCACTATGTTGCCCAAGCTGGAGTGCAGTGGCTATTCAAAGGTGTAATCATGGCTCACTGCAGCCTTGAACCCTGGGCTCAAATGATCCTCCTGCCTCAGCCTACAGAGTAGCTGGGATTACAGGTGTGTGCCATCATGCCCAGCTAATTTTTATATTATTTGTAGAGATGGGGTCTTACTATGTTGCCCA